TTATCGTGCCTATTTAGTCTTGATTTCCTTGTTCAATATGAGTACCGTTTCTACCTGGATGAGACATAGGTCAAGAATCCTGTCCTGGGATGTGGGAAAGGGAAGCCCCCACATCTGTTCCTGTCAGGCCCCCATCAGGGGACTTGGGTGGTGTTCCTGTTATCTGCTCAAGATCCCAAGACTGTAAAGGTACTTGTTCACTGAAAGGGTGTAAGTGTAAATATTTATTTGATGTTTGTATGTCTACTTGGGTATAATTATTTGTTCATGTAAGTGTGGAAGTCTGTGGGAAAAAAAGGCACACGCTTGCCCCAAGAGCGCTTGCTCTCTGTCAGAGGTGGAATAGGCCCACCTAACTAGTAAACATCTCTGTCTGTTTGTTTGCTGGGAACTTTGATTTGCTATGTGATATTCAGTGCTGGGTTGGGATTTTGGAATTCTGGGGTAGATTTAAAAGGTATTTGTGGCTTTTCTAGTCTGATTGGGACATTTAAGGGTGGGGCTCACAGTTCCTCAGGGCAGAGATTCCATGGGCCCTTCCCCCTGCCTGTGCTGAATTAAATAATACAGGCCAGTGTCATTTAGCTTGCTGGTTAAAGGAAAACAATGGGCCTTAGAATCTGTAAAGGTGGGCAGGAATGAAGCTGGTCAAATGTACTGCAAGGGTTTGGTACCTGTTGCTGCTAGCAAAGGAGGGGCTGATACCCACTTCTAACGCACTCCCTTGAAAGAGGCCTGGTTGCTGCTCTGCCACAAAGGGAACTGATAGAAAGGCCAAAAAAAAAAGCAGAGCGCTGTAACTGATAAACAGGCTTACCTAGAAGCCATCAGGACTTTGAAGTTCTCCAAGAGAGGAGGAATCTGACTCGGAGACTGGCGAGGACTGGGTGGCTTTTCTTTAACAATCTCTGTCCTTGAGAGGGCTCCAGAGGGTGCACGAGGACATTTGGCCGCGCCTCCGCGCCATCTACGAGACCAGCCCAACCCCAACTCCTCATCAGCACAGACCAGGAGATTGGGTCCACGTCAGAAGGCACCACCAGGAGATCCTAGAGCCACGTTGGAAGGGTCCCTACACTGCGGTGCTGACGACCCCCACCGCTCTCAAGGTAGACGGCGTCGCGACCTGGGTCCATCCGGAAAGACTTCATCACCAAATGGAGCATCGATCGAGATCAACGCAACCCGCTCAAGCTCAAGCTACGGCGTGCTCGACCTGCCTGATGCCGGTAACATGACTTGGGATCACTCCTGTCACCAGGAGCCCCCACAATACTGTGTAATAATGCCTGCATCTTCATGGACATGGATCCAAAGAGACAAGGACAATTTATAGGATCACATGTTTAGTAGCAGAAGATTTGGCTGCCTGAAGCGGCCATGATGCCAATATTATGTTTCATTGTATTGATATGTTATATTAACCTTTGATTCTTTTGCAGGTTTGAATGTATGTTGGCTGTCCTGGAAGGGAGCTGTGTGGGGTGACCCCCAAAAGTAAAGGGTGCCTAGCTGCCAAGAGGGCAGGTGCCCAGCTGGGCAGGGAAGGGTGCCCATCAGGTTTTGGTCTCTGTTGAGAGACAGCTAACAGTTGGCAGCCTGTAATACTGTCTTGCAGGCCTGAGTCACCATGCCCATGTCGGGTAGTAAAGCTGGAAAAAGCCTGTTTAGAATAGAAGGTCTGAGGCATGGTTATGCATAGAAAGAAGGTTTTATGCCAACAGTTACTGTTTTGTTTTAAATCCATGAAAAGGAATTAGCAAGGAAAGTCAGAAAATCTTAGAGTAGATCAGTATGTTTTTCTCCTTATGTAATTCCTCCAAAATCTGGCAATGCTAAATAAGTACGTTTCTTTGCATAGATCCAATGAGACTGATTCATAATAGTGGTTTTATTAACGGAAAACTTTGACTGGAGTATCATGTTTTAAAGAGCCCTGTCTGAACTCTAAAGACTTGAAGCCACTAAGAATGCCACAAAGAAAGCCTGGTATCCTGCTTGGGAGCCCTGAAGATGGCTGGCGCTGGAGCATCAGGCCCATGCCCTACCATCACTGGCAGTTGGTAAGAGTAGAAGGGGAGCAGTAAAGATGCCTCTGCATCCCTGCGGAACCCCCACACACTCTGGGCCGCAACAAGTAGGAGGGCTACTGAGATGGGCCTTAAAGCCTGGAGCGTGGGCTCAGGTGGAGTTGCTACAGGTGAGGGATTCACCTAACTCAGCAGATACTGCAGGCAGGCCTGATGGCAGCTGGATGGCTTGGCTTCCTGGCCCTACGGGGCACATTAAGGTTCAACCATGAAATTCCAGCAAAGGTAGTCAGTTACCATTCTTGTTGTGTTTATGCAAACATCAGGAAACTTGATTTGGCTTTTTGATAGCCATGGAGGAATTTTAAGAAGAAAAATCCTGTTTCAATAGAAGTTGTTCTTTCCCTTCCACCAGGCCATTTGTTAAGCTTATAGGGATAGTTCAGTTGATAGTTCTGTGTGCCCAGTATGGGCCTCTAGCAACAGTGGAATAGAAATGCAGTCCGTCTCATGATTGAGCCGGAAGTTCCAAGACAAGGGGGGAATGAAAGGGCGAGGACTATGCCCTCCACCTTGCCCCAGGGTAAGGGCTATGCCCTCCATCTTAACTTGGCCATGTGCTCAGCAAGCTTCTTCCCAGAAGATAGTCAAGGGAAGTGCACGCCATCACTATGACCACATCCTGTGTAATGAGACACCGACTCGCGCCTGGCCAATCGGCAGGGCCCACAGTCCTTTCTCCTCCCCTTACCCCAAACCCCTATAAAACCCCTCTCCACACAGATTTTTCTCTCTCTCGGCCACTGGAGCTTACCGTTGCATCGGTGAGTGTGGCAGGGGAGCCAAACCTAGGTTTGAAATGAATGACTCTTTGCTTTTGCATCGGACTCGCTGGCTCCCTGTGGGTTCTTGGGAATCATGAAATCTGGGCACAACAGTCTGCCCACCAGGGAAAGCACCAAAGCCTATATCCCTGAAGATCCACCGACACAGGGCAGTCCCAGGGAAGGCAAGCGGCGAGGCTGGGAGCACATAACCTTTACTGGGTAGGATAAACTCCTTCAGTCACTTCCTTGTAGCTTATCAGTAGAGCAGTGACCTTGGAATAGCCCTTGTAATGGAACACAGAGATTAACCTAGACAAGATTAAAATCAACAGAACTAGATAGAGACAGGATTTTTGGCCAAGGTCAGATAAGAAACAAGGAATTGTAGAACTTGACCCAAAACATACCATGATGTAATTATAGAGGCATGCTTATGGGATCAAATAGTATAAATATAGATGTAATAGGACAATAAAGAGAGAACCGGGCTATATGACCAACTGAAAAAAAATAAATAAATAAACTGCAATGAGATGCCACTTTGTATACTAGGGTGGCTGCAATAAAAAGACCGACAACATCGAGTGTTGACAAATATGTGGAGCCACTGGAACTCTGACTTCTGGGGGAAGTATAAGATGGTGGAAGACTGCCAAGTTCTTATAAGGTTCAACATATACCTACCCCATCACCCAGCAATTTTACTCCTAAGTAATTAAACAAGAGAAATAAAACATATGCCCACAAAAAGAGTTGTACATGAGCTTCAGGGCAGCTTTATTCATCATCACCAAACTTAGAAATGACTCCAGTGTCCATTATGTAAATGGATAAACAAAGTGGTACATTCATTTAATGGAATACTATTCACCAATTAAAAGGAATGATTCATGCTACAACATAGATGAGCCTTGAAAACATGAAGCTCAGCAAAAGAGCCACACACAGAAGGTCACTTATTGTAGGACTCTATTTATATGAAATTCTCGAACAGACAAAACTAAGGCCTGATAATAGAACTGAGAACGGTGGTTGCCTCTGGTGGAGGTTACAGTGGGGTATGCATTTGTCAAAACTTACTGAACATTTTATTTTTAAAAATCTTTTTTAAAAACTGTGTCTTTATTGATTTTAGAGCAAGAGGGAGAGGGAGAGAGAAAGAAAAACAAACATTGATGTGAGAGAGAAACGTGGATTGGCTGCCGCACTGGATGATGCTCCAACCAACGGAGCCACACCAGCCAGGACTGAACTGTACGTTTTATTGAATATAAATCGTACCTCAGTAATAATGTTTATACTTAATCACTCCAAAAGTTACATAGATGAGTGAAAATATGTGGAATGCACAGAAAAGCACAAAATCAAAACAAATTACTTGCAATTATCTCCCCCCCCCCCATCATCATTGTGAACAGTTCCCTTTCCACAGTCACATGCTCACATACTTGGGATCCTACTACCCACACTGCTTTGTAGCTGGCTCACAATGCCTGTCATGAGACGCGCCTGCTCTGTCTCTCCCTCCCTTCCTGTCTCTGTCTCTCTCTCTCCAGTTGCTCCACACCCCCTCCCACCCTCTCCACCTCCCGCTACACTGTAGGGCCTACAGCAATGGGCTCGGCCAACGGGAGGCAAAATCAGATTAGAGGGCGAGAGGTCAGGTATTTATTCTTCGAGCTTCTCCTGCTGGTCACTTTGTGCTGGCAATGAGGAGGCAGTGGTCCTACAGACGCTCCTTCCAGGGTGGGGAACCTCTACTCCCCCTTTCCTGGGAGCCACTGACGTCACCGGCCAGGCTTCCTGCGCGATTCCTGTGGTTCCCTAAACCCATCCACACCGCTCTAATTAGTCCCTTTATAAATAAACCGCCCTCAGATCACCCTAATTTGAGCAGGCCATCAGTTTCTCGCTCAGAGCCTGATCACGCGCGCGAACGCATTTCCGTGTCCGCGTTACGGAGGCAGGCGGTCCCCAAGCCCCGGCGGACCCGCAGGACCATCCTTTCCGACACAGAGTGCGGTCCCCGAGCCGTCCGCGCGGGTCTCCAGCTCCCTTGCACGACACGTCCCCAAGGCGACAGTGGCTGGGCGGTGCTTCCGGCCCGGCGGGTAGAAGCGGAAGTCCCGCCCCTGCCAGCAGCGCCCGGTTTCCCATGACACCATGCGAGGAGCAACGTAGCCGGAAGCTGGTGGCGGCGGGGTCGGCGACTGGCGAGAGTCCTCGGTGCAGCTCGCCGCCCGACCCGGCCCGGACCCCGCCGACCCCGCCTGATCCCGGTGCGCAGATCGAGCCCGCCTGGTAAGCGCGCGGCCCGAGCCCCCGGCGCCCGCCCGCGGCCCGGCTCCACGACGCCCCCGGCCCGCCATCCTCTCCTCTGCAGCTGCCCCCAGGCCCCTACCCCTGCGGCCATGGGCCCTGCCCTTCACCCCCGCCCTGAGCCCTGCCGGCCCGGCCCCTGCTCCCTCCCTCGGACCCAGGACCTGGCTTGAACACCGCGTCCAGTCCTGCGAGCCCCCGGGGGGTGTCGGGGCCTGGCTAGTCTGAACGGCGGCCTGAGCGCTTTCGTTCTCTTCTCTTGCCCTTTGCGGTGGGTGATCGCCTCGGGGAGGGGCCCAGGAGAGGACTGTCATTTTCGCCGGTTCACGTAGCTTTACGGAGACTTGTGCTCCTTGTCTGTCTGGCCTAGTAGCCTCTTTGTAAGCCACCAACTGAGAAATAATTGTGTTCGTTTAGTGCAGCTCTGCTATTTCTGCCTGCCGCTTGTGATGGCGCGAGTGGGCGCGAGGACCGGCTCCTGGGTTGGTTTTGGCGCCTCTTTCCAAGCAATAGCCCCCTGGGACGAGAGGGCTGTTCTCGGAGGGCGCTGTGGGTGCCTCTGCCTGCCGCCTGTGCAGCGGTGGCCTTGAGTCATCCCTGGTGAGAAAGTCCGAACATAAGGCCAGGCGTTCTGCAGTCCGACAAATGGCTTCGTGAACTGGGAAGACGTCCTCACTGGGTTCAGCTTACACTCCGTTGCAGAAACATTCCATTGGACCATCCCGGTTTCAAGGGTTAAAATAGGAGTTCTTGGGTCATCTTTCAAGATAACAGTTAAGGTGTTTTTTTAAAAGATGTTTTTATTGATTTCAGGGGGAGGAAGGGAGAGGGAGAGAGAAACGTCAGTGATGAGAATCATCTAACAGTTGTCTCCTGCACACCCTCCACTGGGGATTGAGCCTGCAGCCCAGACATGTGCCCTGACCAGAATCTAACTGGGACCCCTTGGTTAATAGGAAGATGCTCAACCACTGAGCCACACCAGCCAAGCCATAGTTAAGGTTTTAAAAGCGAGGAGGTATTTATGCTAAATAGCATTTCAGGTTGGCCCGTGTGATTCAGTGGTTAGAGCTTTGGTTTGCACACCCAAGGGTCGTGGGTTTGATTCCTGGTCAAGGGCATGTACCTGGGTGCGGGTTCAATCCTCAGCCCTAGTCTGGGTGGATGTCGGAGGCAACCAATCAATTTGCCTCTCACATCGATGTTTCTCTCTCCCTTCTTCCCTTCCACTGCCTCTAAAAATCAATGGGGAAAATCTCCAGTGAGGATTAACAAAAAAACAACAATACCTTAGCATTTCAGAGAAATTGGGATTCTCACATCCCAAACCAGTTGCCAATGGGAGGTTCCTTTTAAATTGAAGCTAAGTAATTTACTTTTCACGTATTTTCCCTTTAGTGGTTGTGCAAATGTTCACTCCACTTTATTTGACGCAGTGAGAATTCAGAGCAGGCTCCCCCCCAGTCTGACTTCTGTTGCCCATGTCCTGGTGACCAGACGTGAGGGCAGGCACAGTTGTGTGGGGACCTGTGTCGGCAGGTGTGCGGGTCAGCCCTGCACTCCACCCCACACAGGGCTCTCCTGTGGCTGCCATGAGACCAGAGTCTGCAGAGGGCTCTGTAAATTCAAACCCACCAGCACATCTCTCCAAGAGCGACTTAGCCCGTTTCTGCCTTTCACACTGGTGACAACATTCTACCGGAAGCATTCAGTCTGGGGGCCGGTCCTGGGCAGGACTGTGCTTTGGTGTGTTTGCCCTCAAGATCTGCTCCTTTCTGGGGGAAATCACACGCAGCACAGGGAACTCCCGGGCAGAAAGGAGCATTGGGTGAATTCTGGTTTGTTTCCATCAATTACAGAAAACAGATCTCTATTTCTTAACTGATCTGGCCTGGAGTGGACTCTGAGGAACATCAGAGTTATGGACTTCCAGGCTTAGGTTTGGTTGTGTGAGACTCAGGGTTCCCCTCACTGAGTAACTTAAGATTAAAGATGAAATTTGGACGGAGATTCTTCTGGTCTTGTTTTTACCTGCACCTCAACATGAAGCTCCATGACACTGTTAACGGAGAGCTGGTCTGAGCAGTCAGTCACGTGCCCGCAGCAGTGAGGGGCAGGGAGGTGGAGGTGTGAAGCGCCCAGCAGCAGAGCGGGTGTGCGGCATTGCTGCTCACACTGCTCACACTGACAGCCCTCCGGTGTTCTCCAAAGGCTGCGTGTTGCCATGTGAGTTAGAGGGCAGCTCACAGGTTCCACTCACAGTCGCGAGAAGGCCATCTTCAGAGGCCACACACTTCCAGGTGGAGATGACCTGGAACCCAGGTCCGACCCGAGGTGGTGGACACAGAACCTGTGGGGATCACTAATGTCCAAAACTGTGCGTGGCCCCCACCTCATGCCTCCAGCTTGAATCTTTTTATCATTTTGATTTTCCTGGTCATGAAGTCAGTGGGCCACCAGTGGAGGTTGAACTTGGCCACAGCTCGGAGGCTACAAAGAAGGAAATGGCGGGCCCTGGCCGGCGTAGCTCAGTTGGTTGAGCATCACCCTGCGCACAGAAGGCCGCTGCACACTCCCCACCTAGGCACGTGCCTGGGTTGCAGGCTCGATCCCCAGCGGGTGGCATGTAGGAAGCAGCCAATAGATGTATCGCTCACATCGATGTTTCTCCCTCTCCCTTCTTCTCTTACTAAAAATTAATTTAAAAAAACGTAAAAAAAAGAAAAAGGGTGGGGTGAGATGGAGGGGGCCAGTGGGATAAAGGGGACATCTGTAATACCTTTCAACAATAAAGATTAAAAAAATAAAGAAAAGAAATGGCTTTCCAGTCGAGGTGTTTGACTGTTGTTCCCCAGCAGTGTCCTTGTGAGGTGTGGTGACCGGTCTGCCCTACTGTGGCCATGCTGTCACCTTCATCCCCCATGATGGCCCCGAAGAGACCTACCTAGAGACCCTCTTGCGAACCAGCCTCTTCACATGTCAGGGCCACCGTTCTGCGGCCCCCACGGGCTGGGAGCCTCCCTGCACCCTGTCTCTGAAGGCTGTCAGCCCAAGTCTGGTGTGTCGGTCTTTAGTGAGCAATTCAGGACTCCATATAAATTAGCCAGTCGTGGTGGTACATGGTGGTTAAGCCAAGTGCAAGCCCATATTGCTTCTGATAATGCAGTGGTTCTCAACCTGTGGGTCGCGACCCCTTTCGGGGTCGAACAACCCTTTCACAGGGGCCGCCAAAGACCATCCTGCATATCAGATATTTACATTACGATTCATAACAGTAGCAACATTACAGTTACGAAGTAGCAATGAGAATAATTTTATGATTGGGTCACAACATGAGGAACTGTATTTAAAGGGCCAGAAGGTTGAGAACCACTGTGATAATGGCATTGCCTTGGCCAGGCCATCTAGCTGTTCTTGGTCTCTCTTAGAGTGGAGACAGAGCTCTGCAAGTGGCCCCATCTGCCTGCCGGAGCAGAGGTCTCCCTGTCGCTTCCGAGCAGCTTAGTGGAATTTCTCGGAAGTTCAGCTTTATCGTGTTTTGCACTGACTGGATTTTTCGTGAAGTGACCTATTTGTAAGTTTTAAAAGTTTGTTTTTCTTCGCAGCATCATGGCCAGCCCCAGGACCAGGAAGGTGCTCAAGGAAGTCAGGGTGCAGGAGGACAACAACGTGAGCCTGTGTTTCTGTGGTGCTTTGGTTCAGGGCTCCTGGCTTCCCGGAAGTGGCTGCAGCCTCAGAGCTTGCCCTCCCTGTCTGTCGGCTTCCCAGTCAGCCTCTCCTCTGCTCCCTCTTGGGGCCACCCATTGGGTCTTTGGGGTCCCTGGGTTCTGGGGTCGCCCTGAGCCACCTGGGCGAGTCGCACCTGACCCTCTCCACAGGTGTGTTTTGAGTGTGGTGCGTTCAACCCTCAGTGGGTGAGTGTGACCTACGGCATCTGGATCTGCCTGGACTGCTCGGGGAAGCACCGCGGGCTCGGCGTGCACCTCAGGTCAGTGCCTGCTCCGCTGCAGCGCGCTCCCCGAGGGCGCAGCGCCTCTCAGGAGTCCGCGTGCCCTCGAGGCCTGTGGCTGCGCTTCTGTCACAGGACGCACACGTGTCTAATCCACAGTTTGGGGGCTCTTCAGTGCCAAGCACTTGATAACTAGTTCGATCCTCGGCCTGTAGCTTCGTGCGCTCTGTCACTATGGACAAGTGGAAGGACATTGAGCTTGAGAAGATGAAAGCTGGTGGGAATGCTAAGTTCAGACAGTTCCTGGCGTCTCAAGAGGACTATGACCCCTGCTGGTCCCTGCAGGACAAGTACAACAGCAAAGCGGCCGCCCTCTTCAGGGACAAGGTGAGGCCACGAGCAGGCCCAGGCTGCTCCCATTGGGACTTTAGTGACTCCAGTCCACATACAGAAGGGCATGTGGCCCTGTCTGGTCCGCGCCCTTCCCTTCCCCTCTCCCCCGAGGGAGGCAGGTGGCCTGTGGTTAGTAGGGGGGAAGGATGAACCTTCCTCGCCACCCCTGGGAAACTGGCATCCACACACCTCTGTCCATCTTGGTTAAGATACTCCCGAGGACAGTGGAGCCTGTGGGGGACAGAGGTGACCGAGAACTCACCCACACCATTGCAGAGGGAGACCTGGTCTCAGTGTTCACGTAAGGCAGAGACCCTTGCCCATGGCCACTGAGCCCGGGAGGGCTGCATGGGGCGCACAGTAGAGTCCACTGGAGCCAGCACCACCTAGGGTGGCCCTGACAAGCCTGTACTCTAACCCCCTGTTCCCTCGGCAGGTGGCAGCTCTGGCCGAAGGCAGAGAATGGTCTTTGGAGTCATCGCCTGCACAGAACTGGACCCCGCCGCAGTCCAAGATGCTGCCATCCACTGCCTACCGGTAGCCGCTCCTCTGGCCGCTGCTCTCGGCTGTCCCTGACCTTAGCTCAGGGTCCTTGTGCTGTCCTGGTAACAGCTACCGTGTGCACTCTTCCCAAAAGCAGTGGGGAAAACAACCTTTTAGATTGTAAAACAATATAAGCTTTTTTTGTCAACCAGGGAAGATGTGTCTGGAAGAAAACCTGCCCTCTACACTGCTCAGGCACCAGCCCAGTGCAGATCCTTCTAGAACAGGGGTCCTCAAACTTTTTAAACAGGGGGCCAGTTCACTGTCCCTCAGACCGTTGGAGGGCTGGACTATAGTTTTAAAAAAAACTATGAACAAATTCCTACGCACACTGCACATATCTTATTTTGAAGTAAAAAAACAAAACGGGAACAAATACAATATTTGTATTTGCATGTGGCCCGCGGGCCGTAGTTTGAGGACCCCTGGTCTAGAATGTGCCCATGACATGAATGCAGTTCTGTAGGACTTGTGTCTCCTGTCCTTTGTGAGGGTCACCCCCCCGCCCCCCAGACTGCAGGCACACTGTGGGTGAGCTGGCCTCATGGTGCTCATCTTGCATCTCAGACATCAGAGGCTGGTGTTCGGTGTGACTGGTCTCAGAAGGCTCCCCACTCACCCCGGGGGGTGCCAGGGTCCTCCCCACCTGTTGCCCCTATTGTTAGGCCCTGTCCATAAGGCTGCACCGTCTCCCCTGCTTCTTGTCGGCTTCATGAGCTACCTTCCGGATAGAGCTGGAGCCCAGCTCTGCCTCGCTGCGCTATTACAGGCGCCTAGGTGTGACCAGGGGGTCCTGACAGTACCTCCCAAAGGCCCCTGTGGTAGCCAGCAGGCGTCTGCTGCCCTCTGGTGGCCGCACCAACCGTCAGCTCCATTTCAGGGCCTCCGGCCAGCCGCAGAGCTCGACTGCCTCCTCGGACAAGGCCTTTGAGGACTGGCTGAACGAGGACCTCAGCTCCTACCAAGGGTGAGGCCCAGGGCGCCGGGAGCCGGAGGTCTGGTCGCTCAGGCGAGGACTGCCAGCCCGCTCGGAATGGGGTCTGGAGCGGGAGGAGTCTGAGACTTAGGGGAAGAACATGCTTCTGTTGCGGGTTGTCCTGGAGCCATCACCTTGCAGTGTTGGATGGCTCCTGCCGCCCTGCGTGGTGGCTTGGCCTTGCCATGGGGGCTCCTCAGCCGGACGCAGCAGGAGGGGCTGCGGTGGGCAGTGCGGTGGCTGCTGTGTTTCCCTGTCAGGGCCCCGGAGAGTCGCTACGTGGGGTTTGGAAACACGGTGCCGCCTCCGAAGAAGGAGGACGACTTCCTCAACAGCGCCATGTCGTCCCTGTACTCGGTGAGTGCGCCCAGCGGGGGCGCCGGCCCAGGCAGCCTGTGCGGCCCTCCTCCACCGTGCCTCGGTGTGTCGTTCAGATCCAGAAGTTTTCACTCATTTACTGACTTTGGCAACAAGCATACATTTCAAGTTAGCAAGGAGCATTTCCTCCAAAGAACCAACATTCTGTGTGGATCTGGCACTGCCCGGCCCGGCCCATGTGGGTCCTCATGCTGCTCTGCTGGCCAGTCTGGGAAAGATGAGGTTTGGTGGCAGTCTCTAAGCTGCCCGGCTCCAGCACCCTCTGGGGATGGCACCCTCAGCCGTGCATGGCCCCGACCTGCTGAGGCTGCTTCCGGTTGAACCATTGTATTCCAAGGAAGTAGTCACTGTTTTTTTAAAAAATGGGTGTTGCTCCATCAAAGCATTGATGTGATAGGAACACTTGCAGACACCTGAGGGCCATGCTGGGAGGAGAGGGCTCCTCTGCTGGTGGGACAGGCTCTTAGAAGGGCCAGGTGAAGGACGCACAGGCGGACATGGGATTACAAGGCCGCCGGGGCCGTGTGTGCTCAGAGCTGAAGGAAGCTCTCGGAAGCTGCCCCTTCCCGGCCGTTTCTGTAGGATCCTATCTCAGGCGCGGCAGGAGGCTCACTCTGCCACTTCACACCCCCTTGCCCCGTGCACACTTACTCCAGAGAGGAATGAGCTGCTCAATAAGTTATTTAAAACCACCTATCGCCAGTCTCAGCTGGGTCTCGGGGCGGGAGGCAGGTCTGTAGTGACAACCTACTGGGCAGGAATTTCTTTGGAGAAAGGTGCCTGCCCTCAGAATGTCGTGTTTCATGTCTGTTGTCCCGGCCCCTGCAGGGGTTTGTCTCCGTATCTGATGAGTACGTCTCCTGCGCACAAGCCCTCCGCGTTGCTTCGGGAACGAAAGGCTGTGGCGGATTTAAGTCAGATGTTTGTGTTCCTAAATAGTTTCAGTTGGTTTTGGAGGCTTAGGAGGAAACTTGAACTTAGTCAAAAGAGAAGAGGTTGTCGTGCCCCACCCGCCCCAGGACTGGTCTGTCTGCAGTGGACACCAGGCTCTCCCCTCAGGGCAGGTGGGGGCATTGAGAGCTGTAGGAGGAGCTAAGGCAGGGGCTTGGGTGGGGCCCATGGTGCCACCCTGTGGTCCAGGCCTGGCTCTTCTGTCACTAACATCACCCTGACCGGGCCCCAAAGTGACAGAGATGGTCAGGCCTCCTCTGGAGGTGGATGGTGCGGTGCGACCTGGGCAGAAAGCAACCTGGGCAGCCGCGTGTGGCCTTGACGTGGCCTCTGCTTCCTTCCAGGGCTGGAGCAGCCTCACCACCGGAGCCAGCAGGTTTGCCTCAGCAGCTAAAGAGGGTGTAAGTGCCATCCCAGCGTCCCCGGGCCCGACCCGCACAGTCTGGCCGGCCTGCAGGGGAGGGAGGAGTTGTTGTGAATGGGAGGGGGGAGGCCCTGAGAGGAGCCCGGCGTTGAGGGGCTCCAGCCCCTTCCAGCTCCCGTGGCATGATGCCCTCCCCACCACCACTGGCACCACCACTTGGCCGTGTGGTCCAGCTGGCTCTCAGGAGGGCTGTGCCTGGGAGGTCCGAGCACCTTTCAGCGGAATGTGTGGCCAGGCTTTTCTTCCTTCCCTGTTATAATAGTGATTGGGGGACTGGGCATCCAGAGGGGGTGGCACCAGCTGGGTTGTGGAAAAGCACAGAAAGGTGGGGTTGGGGTGGCACCAGTGGGGGCCCCGTGTCCCAGAGAGCGAGTAGGACAGTTGGCCCAGTGACTGCATGGGTGCCCCTGCCCCCCGCCAGCCTCCCTCCAGTGGGGGCTGGTGTGCTGGGCAGCCTGGCTGTGCCCTTGGAGCCACTGCAGGGGAGCACTGGTGCCTAGTGGCATCGGCAGGCCTGGGACAGCGCCTGTGAGCCCAGCAGAAATGCGGCGGCATCATTCAGGACAGTGTCAGCCTTCTGTTTCCTTTCCAGGCTACAAGGTTTGGATCCCAGGCAACTCAGAAGGTAACAGGAAGGCTGCGCCCTGTGTTCTGTTACCCTCCTCGTCTGTCGGGGTCTGGCATACCCGGGGGTGCCCTTGGGCCCACGCTCCAGGCGGGGGCAGTGCTGTGTGCAGCCTGGGCACTGCCTGGCCTGTGTGTGTGGGCGCCTCCCAAGTTCATGTCCGCCGTGCTCCTTCAGGTGTCCGCGGGTTTGGCAGGCAGGGTAAGAGGCTGCACCTGTGTAGGGCTTGTGGGGCTGGAAAGTCACCCTGTCCATCGCAGCCTGGGTGCTGGGCAGCCACGCGGCCACTGGCAGAGCCCCCGCATCAAGAAGGAGCAGGCGGCAGGCGGCTCCACTGGACCGAGGAGGCTCAGCGTCACGGAGGCGAGGCTGCGTCTGCCAGCCAGCCTCTGTGGGCCCCTGGGGCTGGCGTCTGTCCCGTGTCCCTGGTCAGTGCCTTCTCTTCCTGGAGGCAGGGGTCTCGGCTGCAGCCTTTTCTTTTTTCAAATCCTGGTTAGTGGTCCCTGCAGTCCCCCGGAGGTGCCAGGGCTCTGGGCTGGCCTGTCCTCTCAGGGCTGGGTGTTAGGACTCATGAGGCAGCGGCCATAGGGCTGTCCCAGGCCCCAAGTGAGGGAGGGGTGGCTTCTCCCCCGCTGCTGGGGGCCCCTGCTCTGCTTCTCTGAGCCCCTACTCTTTCAGCCCCTGAACCCCTTGCTCACATGGTTCTGGATGGTGGTCAGTGGGAGTGGAAAGCAGGGTTCAGCGACAGTGAAGGGGGCTCCAAAGTCACTCTGGGGCGCCGTCAGGGTGATGTAGTGATGTGACTCGAGGTGCTTTTGGGGGTGCCCATGCTGCTCTACTGCCTTGCTCTCTCCTCTTTCCCCACTCGATCCCTGTGCCGCTGGGTAAAGTTCTGGGGTTCCAGGCAGCAGCCGGAGCTGGTAAGGTGCCGCGTCCGTGTGTCACCCTCAGCACGCCCTCATCTGTGGGGCCTGTGCTAGGTTCCGCTGTCGCCTGCTGTGGCCTGTCCTGTGTCTGTGCTTACGTGTGCTCACGCTCAGAACTTCTCACTGGCCTGATGGGCTCCTGTTTGGCCCATGCAAGCTGCTTGGGGACCCGCACTTCCTTTGTGACCCAGAATGCAATGGGCACTGATGGCCTGGAATCCACGGGAGCTACTTGGCAAGACTTGCATGGAGTAATTTTCTTGAACCAAACACTCCAAAGGTGTCTTATCCCAGGAGTGAGGTCCTGGCACCCATCCTGAGGCTTTGCTCACAGCCCCTGTCATCCCACTCCTGCCCCCACCTCATCATCTCCCAGCTCTGTCCCCTCCCCTCAGCCAGCGCCTGATGCTCGCTCTCCATGGCTGCGGGGGCTCACGCTGGGCTGCTGAGGTTGCTCCCCTACACCCTGGGGAGCATGTGAGGTGATCTGCTACTGGCCGGGCTGTCTTCACCAGGCAGGATCCACTGGGCTCTGAGGGGAGACCCTGGAGGCGAAGGCTGGGCAGGGCGGACCCCGGGCTTGTGCTGTCCCTGGGCCCCTGCCTGTAAGACTGCGTAGCAGGGCGCAGCGGGTCCGGCCTCTGTGGTCAGGGTGCTCAGGGCCACTTCTACGCAGCTGCTGTGAGTCCCGTATGCCAGTGGACTGCTTGCTGTCTCTGCCCGCAAAACTGGCAGCCGCTGTGCTGACCCTCGTTCTGGGGTGAACATGGTGCCAGGAACTCCCTGACTTCCCTCTCATGGCGTCTGTCCTTCATGCAGGCCTCAGAGCTGGGCCACAGTCTGAACGAGAATGTCCTCAAACCTGCCCAGGAGAAGGTAACACCCACTCCGCATGCCATGCTCTTCTGTCTCCCATGGGCCTTGCCCCCAGGGCAGCTGGTGCAGTGGGCAGGCTGTGTGCCTTGTGTCCCCTGATGTGCTCCCCATGTTCTCCCCATGTCCCCATGCACTCCCTGTGTTTCCCTGTGTGCTCCCCGTGCTCCTCCTCGTGTCCCCCTCCCAAGGGGCTGGTAGCACAAAGGAGGCCCAGACTGCTCAGGAGAAGCTTTCGGTGGCTGGGGGTTTAGGGGCAGTGCCCCGTCCTCAGGAGGTGGTGGGAGATGCTGCAGTGTTAGCCTGGCGTGGGGTTGGGGTCAGCTGCTGTGGGGGGTGCTGTCCTTCGTTAGGAACGGTGCTGGGCTCTGCCTGTCCACCCCCCGCTTCCCCCCCCCCCCCCCCACTTCCCTGGTAACGACACTGCTGGTCCACGCAGGTGAAGGAGGGAAAGATTTTTGATGATGTGTCCAGTGGGGTGTCTCAGCTGGCGTCCAAGGTAGGGTGCCCGTCTACACGTGGGCACAGCTGGAGCCGGTCTCCACATTCTGGCGCTGGCACGGACGCCATAGGCCGGGCACTCGTGCCCAGGTCACTTCTGTGGCCATGGCCCTGGCCGCTGCTGCCTGTAAGCCGGCTACGTGCCAGCGAGAGGAATGTGGAGACAGCTTCATGGGTGGCACAGGCGCTAACCTGTCGCTTCTCTTCCTTCTATCCTTTTGCTGCGCTGACCGTCCCTGGTGAGTGTGGACGCTCTGGGCATGCTGGGGACGCCTGTCTCCACCTCACCGCGGGGGTGGAGCGTGCGTGTGGGTGTGGCCCCATCTCCTGTGCCTGCAGCGAGTTTCCCTTGCTCCTGAGGGCCCAGCCCTCACTGTCCCCCAGCGGCCTGCCTGCTGGCAGACCCTGTTGGGGCAAACAGTAGTGACAGCAGGGACGGCTCTGTGGCTGCCTTTCGGAGCTTGGCCGGGTCGCTGGGCAGAGGCTGCCCTGGGTTCCGTGCCTGAGCTGCGTCCCATCCCCTCCAGGTCCAGGGAGCTGGCAGCAAGGGCTGGCGGGACGTCACCACCTTCTTTTCGGGGCGAGCAGAGGACCCCGCGGACAGGTATGCCCGGGCTCCTGTCCTGAGGTGGCCCCTTCCCTGGGCTTTTCCTCCAGGGCCTCGGAGGCAATCGGCACCCTCATGGGTCCAGGGCGCTGAGGGCCCCAGTGCAGGAGGCCCAGAGGTGCAGCAGCTGGTTGGTGCCCCTCACCCCTCGCTCCGACGTTCTCCCCTTGACCTGGAGGAACTGCTGCTGCCCAGGGCTGGGGGGAGTCTCACCCCCTCCCTGGGGGATGGGCCAAGGCGGGCAGGAGGCCTTCCTGCTAGAGCCCAGTGTGCCGCCCTTCTCTTTCTCTGGCCCTTGGGGGGATCCTGAGGATCTGGTGAAGAGATGGCCGTGCTGGGCCTGGTGGGCAATGCCAGTCCACCCCGATGGGTTGCGTTTCCCAGGCCCCGGAGCAGAAAGCCACTGCTTTCTTGCCCAGGTGCTGTGGGTGTTCCATTGGTGTGGCTGGGGGGGGGGGTGGCGGGACAGCCTTCGGCTTGAGCAGTCGTCTGGACAGTGGGGGGACCTCCGCATTTTGGGTTTTCATTCCCGTTCCCTCAAGGCACCCTCTCAGCTCCCGCGGGAGGCCTGTCTGAGCTGCACTGAGCCCAGGCTTCCCTGGGGGTCCCCGTTCTCAGGGGAGGTGCCAAGGGAAGGCCAGGGGCTTGGGAAATTGTTGTTCAGAGCCCCCCTCTTTCCAAGGCCCCTGGAGGACCAGAGCTACCAGAACAGCGGAGGGGACAACTCCCAGAACAGCACCGTCGACCAGAGCTTCTGGGAGGCCTTCGGGAGCACTGACCCCGCCAAGGCCCACAGGTCCCCGAGCAGCGACAGCTGGACGTGCGCTGACGCCTCGGCCGAGAAGCGGAGCTCAGACAGCTGGGACGTTTGGGGCTCGGCCTCCACATCCAACCATAAGAACAGTGACAACAGCGATGGCGGGGAGGCCTGGGGGGGCGGTGGGGAGGGCCGGCCCAAGACCACCAGGAAGGCAGCCCCGAAGGCCGCTCAGGTGGACGAGGGCTGGGACAACCACAACTGGTAGGCGTGCCGTGCCTGGCCCCAACCGCTGGCAGCCACTGTGTCTGCACTTTGCCCTCTTCCAGCACCTTCCACTTGAGCAGAAACCCGGCCACAGCGTGGAGACAGGGCCTTGGGCGGGACTCTGGGACTCCATGGCTGCAGGGTTTAGAGGCCGGCTGCTGTCCTGCTCCGACCTCCCCATCTCCCCCTCCTGCGTTCCGGGTGCCATGGCGGGCAGGAGCTGGCTGCTGTGGGAGCCGCCACACGTACTAATAAACCCTCCGGGGCTGCCTGGGGTTGTGAGTGCTGCTCTGGGTCTAACTTCCTGCCTGCGTTCGCTGCAGTTCTCTTTTCGAAGAAAATGCCCAAAGTTTTAGAGACAAATACCAAAAGCAGCACCAGCGCTCCGGTTGCTGTCTGCCCCCAACACAAGGCTCTGCCCCAACCCCACCCCTGAGCCCGGTCAGCACTTGGACTTGGACTGGCCCTCTGAGCCCAGGTGGCCCCGCCCAGGACACCTTAGTGAGCTCAGACACAGGCAGCGGTTCTCAACCTGTGGGTCGCGACCCCTTTGGCGGTCGAAAGACCCTTTCACAGGGGTCACCTAAGACCATCCTGCATATCAGATATTTACGTGACGATTCATAACAGTAGCAACATTACAGTTATGAAGAAGCAACGAAAATAATGTTATGGTTGGGTCACAACATGAGGAACTGTATGAAAGGGTCGCAGCATTAGGAAGGTTGAGAACCACTGAATTAGAGTGTGCTCAGGGAGGAAGGCAGGCCTAGTGCCCAGCCCGGGCCCATCCCCCACCAGGCCAGGAGCAGAATGGGGCCTCGCCTGGGCAACCAGGTTGGCACTAGAGCGGTGCCTGTCTGCTCCCCGTTTGCGACAACCTCGCCTCTGCTTGAGGCTTCAGTGCTCTGGGACCATGGGCAAGGTAGGGGCCTGGGGAGGGCCAGCCCTGCCCTTAGCCCACCGCTCCCCCCCCACCCCATGTGCCCCAGCCTCCAGCGAATCTCACTTCCTCTAACCTGAGGACCTGTGCTTTCTGTGCCTGCCTCCCCCCAAAATACCTCTGCCTGCAAAAGCTGAGCCCAGAGAGGCCTGAGAGCACCCAGAGGTCAGGCCTGCCCTTCTCAACTACCTGGGCTGGGTGGGGATGAGGGCGGGGTGGGCACCCCATCTAGGCGCTGATTCCTGGGATCAGGTCTGCCAGGCTGCGGGACCATCTGGGTTGGCTGGGAGGGTATGGCTGAGGCTGCAGACTTCGGAGGGTGCTAGAGAGGCGGCCTGTGCAGAGGGGGTTCCCCAGGAGGGTGGGTGTGGGCCTGGGCACTGGGACCACAGCACAGACCCAGGGGCTTAAGGTCCTGACCTGGGAGTGATGCTGGAGGACTGGAGAGGGGGGTTGGCTGGCGTGCCTTTGGGGTCCATGCTGCCAGAGAAACCCAATGCCCAGCCCCCCATCTTGGTGTCCAGGGCCATCTGTGGTGGCCTTTGTTCCTGAGCCCCTCTTTGGGGCAGACCCTGTGGAGGGAGAGATAAAGGTGTGGGGTCAGTGCTGTGCCCCACACTCTGTGGGGTCCCCGCCACACCATGAGATGGGGTCCTTTACCCTGGGATCTCTGCCCCACGTAGAGAAAGGTCCTGGGCAGCCGATGGGAAGGGTGGAGAGCCAGGGCAGGAGGAGGCTGAGCGCTGGGCGGGGCAGTGATGTTGGAGGAAGGGCCTTCATAAGCCCTGTCCTCCCTGTGGCTGCAACAGGACCTGAACGGACGGAGCAGGTTGGTGACCGGCCTGAGCCACTGGGCTGGGTGGATGAGCTCCGGTCTGAGGGTGACCCGGGCCTTTCAGAGAAGCCGGGAGGAGCTGAGCTCCAGAGGTGGGCGGAGGGCTCTGCCCCTGGAAGGGGTCCAACTGAGTCAGGCCAGGTTTCTGGGGAGAGAAGGATCTGCTTCAGATTGTGGGTCAGGAGGGCCCAGGCACCCAGAGCACCCACATAGCCCCCGGGCCCTTCACAGCCTGACGAGCCCAAGAGCTCAGCCACCCCTGCCCTGGGTGAGGCTGCGTGAGGCTGGCCAAGGGCCTGAGTGTCCTCTCTGCACTGTCAGCAGAGGCTCAGAGGCACCTTGGGAGGGAGGGGTGCCCCCAGAGAGCTCCCCCATGACCCCAACTCCACCTCCCCACTGAGAGGCCTGCTCTCCCCAGAGGTTCTGCTCAAACTTGGGTCCTACCCCAGCTGCCTGTTCCTCCCCAGGCCCCTCGGCTCTGACAGCACCGTCCCAGTCTGGTCTAGCGACGAGTGAGTGCAGCCGCGGGTCAGGGCTGAGCTGGCCAGCTGGCCGTGGGAAGTCCTGAGGACGAGATGGGGGCCCAGCTGCGGCTGAACCAGCGTCGGGGGCGGGGTGGCTGGCAGAGGGGCGGCTGACCTCTAGCTCAGAAAGCTCTTGTGGGACCTGCAGACGCAGCCACAGTGGGTGGGGCGAGCGGCTGAGGGTGCAGCGTCCAGGGACGTCTGGAGGGGGCACAGTCCCCGCTGTGGATGGAGAAGCTCTGGCTTTGCCATCAGGAGGGGACAGATGGACAGAAGGCTGAGCGGCCTCTCCTTCCCCAGGCTGAGCACCATGGGTGCCCACGTGCACCCCCACTTAGGGGTCTGCCTCTGGCTGTGGCTGGGTGTCACCCTGGGACTTGGCCAGGAACAAGGTAAGGACAAGGGGTGGGGACTTTGCTTTGGCCCCTGTGGTGGCTGTCCCGGTGGAATTGGTGCTCGGAGTAGACGGGACAAGACGGCCCAAGGGGTCATCTGTGCTCCTTTGCC